CACTACAATAGCAGAGAAGGTAGAAACTGTATGACTCCAAAGGCGAATGAAGCGAAGACGACGGAGAAGCTGATATGTCCACCGGCGCCGAGGAAACGCCGACCAGTGTTCAAGTGTAGGAGCAATGTCGATATAAATTACTTTGTGCCTTCTTCAGATTTGGAGACGGTGTTTATTAGACGAATATAATGTAATAAAAAGGAATTCAAGTGTTCTATGTTTGGTTTTTAGTTCTCAAGATTACTGCAAGAACAGAAGTTACGAATATAATCAAAATTTAAGGTTTTTCAGTTCTGCCCATTGTCGACTTCAATGTCATAGTCTTGTGATATCTCCACAACTATTGTCTTCATAAGAATCATAGCCAATTGCTTGCCGAGGCAGCTTCTCGGACCGGCATTATACGGTAAAAATTTGAAGGAAGGCTCATGTCTTAAGCTTCCATTGCTCAGAAGATGGCTTCTCTTGGTTACTTTCAGTTCTTGGTAGATTCGTGCTTATCTCTTGGCGAATCTTGGTTAGCACTTTAGGGTTTTCAGAAAGAAACCAGAAGAACTAAGTGAGTTTCGAGGCAATGGTATCCCTCCCCAAGATGATGTCTTTGGGAATTTATTGTCATTCGGGTTTAAAAGCTCGATCCTTGTTATATCTAGCTTAATGTAGGACGTCAACAAATCTTCACCTACATAATTCTCCATTAATGGAATTATGATGACTAATTCGTGCAATCTTGCCTCCTCCCTCTTAGCTAATATGTATTTTGCGCACACACGATCGAAAATGGCATCAGCTTCTCTCATTTTCTTTTCTAGTCCCAATCCCATCCAATTTTACAGCTTCCACGAGAACCTTGGTTTAACATGCCTATACACAATCGCTTCTCTAGCATCCGTAAGAGCCTTAGCAAACTCATTCTCTGGCATTTCAATGGAGAGACTTGTAGGATCAGACCCAGTTATAAGAACCATGGTTGTATCGAATGCTCTTTGGAAAAGATCTTGCAAGTTCACGATCGTTCCTACCTTTGCAAAATGATTGAAAAGAGTTACAAACCCGTTCTTGAGTTTACTTCTCGTCGTTCTTAATGAAAATCTTTGAAACCCTTGATGGTTGAGCCTGGCCTGAGCAGCATTCCTCAAGTTCTTCCATAGCTCTGAGTCTGTGTTAAATATTGCATCTTTGAAAACATCAAAGACTTCTTTGAATGCCGGACCTTTGGTGTAGTTTGAGAAGTTTGAGCTCAACATATAGTGAATGTTAGCTGGATCAACGGTGACCAACATATCCATTCCAGCGAACCACATACCTTTGAATTGAAACGTCAAGTTTGACATCTCGAGAAGCTCCACGGTGAAGTCATAGACCTCGAGAAACTTCATTTATACACACACAATCTAGAAACCACAATGATTCAAAGAGTAGAATTGTTTCTATCCCACGGACTTCTACATACTATCTCCTTCATTCGAATCCACAATTTTTCGTGTAGATATGTTGAACTGCGACAAATGGAGGAGAAGGGCAAGTACGAAAGTGTGCATTGAGTTACTAAATCTACATAACGAAACAGATCTTTCTGTTTCAGATAAATTGACAAAAGAGTTGCTCTAAATGATAGCTTAGGCAGTCCGAGTAGGGATCATGCTTTGTTTAAGGCGAAAGCAGATCCAAGAATCTGTAATGAATGAAACGTTGATGTTATGTTAGATGAGAGCATATTAATCTTGATTCATTCCCAGAGAGCATCTCGATTGCATAAATACTCAAGGAGTCTCTAAAACATAATTTCATAATCTATTTAAATTTTAAAAACAAAATTGCACCAATCACATATAAACATGTGTTGAAATGAGTTTCTACAAAAAAAAAAAAACCCCTTCTCATTCTCTTTCATACTTTTGAATTATTTTTTAATTTTTAATTGGTTAGAACCTTACGAAGAAACCTTCCCCCGTTGGAGATGGTTTAACGGTTTGGTGTAGATGCGACAGATCCTCTTTATATTAGTAGAGGAGACACTAGGTAAAAATCTTATGTGTCATCTAAAGAAGATTTTAAAGAATACATTTCCTAATAAAAAATATTAAAAATTCTTATTAACAAATATATAGAAATAATAAATATGTGGTAATTAATATAGAGAATTCTATTTAAGAAATATAGAAAATATTTGAAGATATCTTTTTTTTTCAATAACTACTATATTTTTTTATCCGATTCAAACGTGCATTTAAAATATTAAAAAACAAAAGTTCATGATTATTTTTAATAGATGAGAGAAATTAAAAATAACTAAGATAAAATATATTTGTTTGATCAAAATTTTCTGTATTACATTTATGCATAATACATATCATTTTGTACGTTTATAAATATTAGAATACACGTTTAAATATTAAATTTGATTTAAAAACATATTAAATTTGATTTAAAAACATATTTAATTATTTAATCTCACGTTTGGCGCGTGGGTCAAAATCTAGTTATCACTAATTCAAAATGTGTTATTCTAGTTATTCTAAAAACTGTTGTACAATATTTGGATGTTAGTCGTTTCTAATTTTGGTTTATACATTTACATATTGCATCTAATCTAGATGTAATCAATAACAAAATGATTAAAAAATATACTGGTTGACAACTTTTAATACTAAATCAGTTTTATTATAAAAATTTTAATTGTGAAAAGTATATTTGT